TACGCTTGTACCAAGAAATCATATTTTCGTTATAACCTCATTTGCAACAACGGGTAAACTTGTTTAGACAGCTCTTTCAGAACCAGTTCAATGAAGAATCAATGCTATGATTCGATTTTTTTGTAGGTGGGACAAGTATATATATATATATATATATATATATATATATATATATCAAAATCGTAATTTACACAACCAAACCACATCCACCGAATCCCTCAAGGTACTCAGACTTGTTCATTTATTTACAGTATTCCAGTTCGTCAGATTCCTGTTAACGGGTAGGCGAATATTCACATGGTAAGATCCAGTAGCGGAGAAGAAGAACAATATAAATGAGTAAAAATGCATGTTAAATTAGTTTGCTCGTTCTCATGCATTCCGGGCGTTGCAACAGACATCGAAATGCTGCCATAGGCATGCAAAATACATCCTAAATTCCAAAATCATCCGCGAAGGTGGTGAAATGATCATAACCGAAGGATTTGGTGGTGGCACGCTACAAGATAAACAAGAATTTCAGGTGCAACTTCAATTTTCCTGTATGTTCAACTGTTTCTACTTGACTGTGGGATGGAGCAAACGGGCTAGTAATCTGAAGATAAGCCGTCGTGCTTTTGGGGGTTTATCAGAGATAAACCTGCTAGCTCATCGAATTCAGATTAGTAGACTTCGATGGCTATGACACGTACTGCGTATGCCAAGTTATCGTCTGCCTAACCGCGTTTTATTCGCTGTAGCCGCTCCGGACTGGAGAAAATCACGAGGAGGTCAACAGATGATGTGGAGACGAGGCATGAGGAAATGCCGAGTCATTAGATAGGGTAGGTGTCTCACGCCTTCCAGGTTGGGGGCCCAAATACTTCTCAAATGGTTGGTTAGAAACATTGAAGGATATGGCAGTGAACCGAGAGCAGTGGCTCTCTGGTTGTCATGTCTAATCAGTTCAGAATGCTTGAAACGGTATGTATGCAGAGTTCGATTGTTCACTCTGTGTTCATCATAGAGGTTCACTTTCTGTGCCCCCCTTAAAATAAGTTCAGTCCCTGTCCACCCTGAATATAACCACTAACTTTGTAGGCACTGCGAGTTTGGTATCGATCAATGAAGGTCGCTTCACTATACTTCGCCGTACGATGATGACAATGCTACCCACACATCCGTTAAACTAACGTAATGTAAAGCCGACTGCACGAATTTCTCATTTCCAATTTCCAATATAACACATTTGCACGGTTCTAACCGCTTTTCTCCTAAAATATCTTCTTCCTTTACAGAATTTGAACGAACTCACTACCCCGATGTGTTTGCCCGAGAGAAGTTGTCCAGTCGTATTTTTTTGCCCGAGGCACGAATCCAAGTGTGGTTTTCCAACCGACGAGCCAAATGGCGTCGTGAGGAGAAATTGCGCATGAAACAGTTGGGTCTGAAAACCGCAGCATCATCCGGAGTGGAAGCTACTAGGAATGAGAAGTCCACTTTTGGCCTATTTCCATCCGGACTGGAGCGGAATTTGTCCACCCTATTCACCACGGACACAATGGATCGAGACAAACTGTGCACCTTATCTACGGTGTCTGAAATGTCCATCGCGGCGACCGCTAATGATGGTCTTCTGCCCAATCATGGATCAGATGGACCAATAACGTTTGATTTGACAAAATTCGAACGAACCACGCGGACGAACTACGATTCCGCGTACGACGAGGCGGACAAACGATGGTCATATCTGCCCTTGCTACATCAACAGCAACAGCAAGAACAGCAACAACAAATACAACACGCCGTGCACCAGCACGCATTCAGCATACCAGGAAATCACATGCAGTTAATTGAGGCCGGGGAGTTGAATAAGGCTTATGTATGAACTTGTAACCGAACGAGAACCCATACCTTCTCATGAAGCTTTGTTACTTGTGACTTCTTTTCCGGTGTATATAATATTCAATATAAAAAAATGATTATGAACATTTCGTTCAACACTGATCGGGTCGCATTGTTGTATGACCAAGCGATTGCTGATTCTCGATTTACATCGTAGCTGCCCGACATGTTCACTCGTGCACGGATTAAGGGTCTAAATGTGGAACAGGCTGAAACCTAAGTGATCCTAGGGTTGTACTCGATTTACCGCGTTCATGAAAGTTAAGTTATTGAATGTAACTTTGTTATAGCAAACAACAGCTACTTCCTGCTTGTTGGAATCGGTCAGCGATTGGTAGTGTATTCTCGTTTTCCAGTTTGCAACGGGGTTGGGATACGTGAAAACGTCTGGGCTTAAGCATACACCATACCAAGATAGTACTTTGAAGCAAAACACAGTGCACATAGAATCACGTGATCCTATCATGCAACCTCCTGTTGATTAAGGATCTTTCACACAACGAACCCAGGTACGCATTTAACTCAATTACTTGTGAGTAGTGTTGTGGAATAATTTATATTGATTTATCGATTGATTAGAACCAAGAATCCTTCGGACGTTCCCTTCACGCACATCAGTGTGGTGGTAACACACACCTTCGATGAGATGGGTCAAACCCCGGGCGAAATGGAGGATATACACTACTGATGAACTCTAATTACAGCGAAACTCAAGTCTAGCGCTTTCAAGTGTACGATTGACTGGAAGAGCTGAGAAATGTGCGTGAAGGTGAAGTCTGAAGGATGGTCAGTTCAAATCCATCAATCAAACCCAGGTGCGAACTAAGCCGGTCGCTGTCAAATTTATGATGCATACAAGGTAAGTGAGAACGTATAAGCGGGATAGGGATTCAGCCTATTTCTGGGATGGGGAAAGAAGGTGAACGAATATGGTCAATACACGGAGTGAAGAATTCAACCATGTACACATACTATTTCAAGCATTCTGGGATGATAAGAAGTGAAAGGAAGAGCCCCACTGCCGTCGGTTTGCGGCCATGATCTTGAATGTCTCCAACTATCCAGTTTAGGGGTCTTTTAGACCCCAACCCGTAAGGCAAGAGATACCTACTCTACCTTATCGCCCAGCGCATTTCTCCGTTAGTGCAATGAATGGTGAGAAACATAAGCCCTATAACTATAGAGACAAGTGGTTCAATCGTGTGAGGTGAACATCCAAAACCAAGAACCATAAAATACCTGTACGATATGGTCGGCATGTATATCAATGCAGCTAAAAAAGCTTTCTAAGCAGTATATATATATATATATATCACACTTGTCTGAGGACAGACTGTGCCAAACAAATCATGGTACAATCATCTTTATAAAAAGAAAAATGTTCCATGATTGGCTTGTGGGCTGAGTACTGCCAGGTTGCCCAGGCCAAGGCAGGTGAATTTTCTTGAGGAATCCACAACCGGAGCCTTCGGCTAGCCAAAGTCTGACCCGCAAGGCAGCGGGGCGGTGTGCGAAAACCGCAGTCCATTGGGAGCCGGTGTCCAGTTCATCGGATCATACGCCCTTCGGACGGGTTCAGACGTCCAAGGTGCCCAATACACCTCAATGCCCAATCGAGCCGGTGACCACTGCCACAACCGAAAAGGTGTGGGTGTGGTTCGTACGTCTCCTCACGGTTGGTTTGGAATCAGGGTTTTTGGCCAACTCCCCTAGGTGAACTGCCAGTGGTCCACCAACCCGGCTATAGCCCCGGATATCGGCTTTTCGTCCTCTCACTTTGGTGGGAAAACACCTCCGCCGCGAGAAGGTAGTGAATAGGGCTTCCTCAGCAGAGACTATTTGAGACGCTTGGTTGTATGGGGGCATTTCGTGAGGTGCAAG